TTTTGTCTCAACTGAATTTTTCTTTCACATAACCCTTGAGAAATTATATTGCTTTAGATTCTCCACTTGCAATTGCAAAATGGTATTACCATACCTGCTGGGATTTTTGGAGACTGAATTGAGCTAAACCGAGTAAAATTTTTCACATTGCATCTCCTTCCACTGGATTTTTTTCAAACCTGATGTTATAAGCTTTTACAACAGTAATCACTTTACCATGTTAACTACAACAGATATTCAAATGCACAGTTTGCCCGCTGCCTGAGGTCTCTCTCCTATCAACTTTCTACTCTCCTTTAAAGAAGACTAAGTTTTCCTGTAGATTCAGCTTTGCACATGTTTTCTGTAGATAGTCCTAAGTGCCAGTCTTTCTAGCTACGTTTCAAAAATACTCTTAGGAATGTGTTCATGCTTTTAAGCCTTCAAAAAATCTTTCCCAAGAATAGCCAAATAATCCCTTCTTAAGCAGTGTAAAGGTAGGAACAGTGACGTGGAGGAAGACGAAGACCATCTAGCATTCTGCTCCTTAGAGCAAGAAGACAGGCCGCCTGTGGCAGGGCTCATACCTTAGGTTCTCGCTACACCAGCTCATGGGATCTCCTCAAACACTCATGCTCAAGAGCAGGGGCCAGTGCTTCTGCTCTTCCTCTGCAGAAGCCATGCAGCAGGAGATGCTTTGCAGGTTGGCATACAAACTGGGCCACTTCTTTGCAATGTGTGCTTCTTATACTCCAACATCCACAACTGAGTTGCTAAGAATGTACAAACCTATTGTTACCTATCGCCTATTGCCTCTGGTAACTGCTTACGGACCTGCTGATCCTGCTTTGGTTCCTTTTGGGACCTGCTGATACTATCTGCTTCCACAAACACCTTGGCAATAAATTTGACACATAAATTTGACCACATATTGCTTAAAGTAGTTTAAAAAAAAAAAAAAAAAGAAATTCTAACATTACCAGTGCCAATGATTAACTCTTATTTCCAACTCTTAGTTTGCAAATAACACTTCTAAATTTACCTTATCACCTCAGTTTTGTAGACTTCCCCCACTGCTCCCAGCCTGCTCCTCTCCAGACTTTTCTTAAAGGAGCTGCTCATCCCTTTAACATTTCAGTTATTCTTCTCTGCACAATCTCTAATTTAGACAGCTAAAACAACCACTTTGAAAGCAAGTTTACAGTCCAGAAGAGCACTGTATCTCCACGCTGAAGAGTTAAATATCAAGACAAATTCTCATTTGGCCTAACATTTATGACAAAAGCCTCAAATTATCTACACTAGTCAATTCTAAAATATTTCCAGCCTCAAATAAGTATTTTTATCTGTAAGGCAAACTAAACAGCAACTGAAAAGACATAAACACTGCTCCTGCTCACAGAGATTTTGACCAGCATTAATACCTAGTAAGCTCCAAGAATCCCACCTGTCCACTGCCTGTGAAAACCTGCTTTTAGCAGTTACCAGAGCCACACAGAGCAAATCAGCAGGTAAATGCAGCACTGCACCTATTTGCATATCTAGCAGAGATGAAAAATCTGGCGATATAAGTGTCCACAATTCTCCCCAGCACTAACTTCCACTTAGTTAAAAAAAAAAAAAAAGTCTTCATTGCTGAAAATGGTACTTTGCAGTAACGATTGTTTTACTACCCTTAGTGGACTGGAAAAACAAGAAAATAAAAACTAAGCAGCATTGTCATGACTCAATGAATTCTATACTTCCGTGGGAAGCTGCACGAACAGTATGCAAGGATCAATTCTAGAACTAGCATTCATTTTACTTACACCAATAATATTTGGATGGCTTAGCTCCTGTAACAACTTTATCTCTCTGAGGGCTGTTCTGTTGATTCCTGTTGATTGAAAGAAAGATGACAGAGAGGGAATAAAAATTTAAAACTTTGTATTAACTGCAACCAAGAAATCACTTGTTCTGTAACTTGCTATTAAAATCTCCTTCCTCTCTGCTCAAAAATTGATTTCAGCTTGTGACTTGCCAAACACATTCCTGCAGTGGATGTTTACTTCCTCCATAGCAAGTAGACTCTATGCCACAGTAATCAGATTTACATTATGAAGCTATACATGCCCTTTTTGGCAAAAATGGGAAGTTTTTCCACACAAGTTTAGAAAATCTGCATTTAATTTCCATGTTATATTTTCACGTTTTAGTTTTGTTTTAAAAGTGCATCTTGCAAATAGCAGTTTTCCTGTGGAGTGTTGCCCAAGAAGAGTTTCAGCTGTGCGTGAGGTGAACAACAGCAGACCGGTTCTCGCACACTGAATCTCACATAACAGGTCAGACTGTAGCACAGTTTGGTGCAGAGCTACAGGTGTTACTCTACACTTCTGCTTTGTCTGTTTTGCGTGTGCCATTTTATAATCAAGCAGACGTTTGCCATGCATGTTCCCAGGTAATGCAGGGAGACCAGACATGGTCCAGGCTGCTCTTACTAAGAACATCTTTGAGCTGCAGCTGAATATCCTACAGGCCAGAAGTGACACCCGCCCCTGAGGGCATCAGCCCACTGCAGACCAGCCGCATCATGGCTTTGCAGCACTTGGCCCACCCAGCAGAGTCTGGATCGGCACTCGGGATTCCCTTTAGCGATTCTTCTGCAAGGATGTAATTCAAGAGCTGAGAGCCAAGATGCTTCCCTAGAAAGCAGGAGCCTGATGCAGGATCCCTGAACAGCAACACCCTGGGCACATACAAAATTCTGTCACACACAAATGTAGTGAGAGGAGACCAACAGCAGTGGGTTTTACTTACTATATCCTTGCCTAAAAGTATGCGGGGGGCCAGAACACATGATCAAAAAGAAACTGCTCTATGGACCTGATTTTCAACACAAAACAACGAACAAATCCATGCACCGTCTATTTTTTAATAGCTTAAGATCTTTTTATTAATGTTTGTTTCAGCATAAATCACAAAAAGTATGAAACATAAGTGAAACATCTGAAACAGAAATAGATGTTCTCACCTGCCATAGACACAAACAAATCAACTGAAAAAGATATATTAAACTCTGTGACGTAAATCAATTTGTTTAGCTGTGATTTTGCCTATGTATTAGTGAAATAATTATTCTGCACTACTCTACATTTTATTCGTGTTTGTATTTCTCTTAAATTGAGAAAGCCTTCACATTTAGATATATATTATGTATGCAGATAATGCTGCTGCCTTTTTTTTTTTAATGCTTCCAGGTTGGGAAGAAAACCATGATTACAACATTGTAGGAAAAAAAAATACGTGGAAGTAAGCCTAAGGCTAAAAGAGTTGAGCTCATTTTATCTCAGCTAAGTTATGGTGTAAAAATTTAACTCACCAATTTATAGACAGAAAGCAAACCAGACAAAAGTTATGGAGTATTATTTTGTTAAAGACTTACCATCTTTAGCTTCTGATCTATGTCCAAGTTTAATCTGAAAAGAAGTGAGATTCACATTATTTAAAAGTCCCACCTGTGGATAAACTCCTTAATGCTACTCCTCTAAAACAAATTTTTAGTACCACAAAGGAGTTATCCAACTAGATTTATTCATCTATAGAGAGAATTGACTTCCCACCATTAGCTTTTAGGCAAGTTTAAAAAAAATTGTGGTGGTGAGAACAGACATAATACAAACTGGCAGAGTAAGATGCTTTGTAGTTAAGTTACAGTAGTGACCAACTTCGTTCCAGGGAGAAATGATGTCAAAGTGAGTGACCGTCTAGACTTGCTCTCAATACAAAAGCTTCAGATGCTTCTCTGGACACCATGAAGTGAAACAGCCTATGAAAACGCAAACACGTTTTCCTCGGCTGTGCTCAAGCAGCTGCAGACCTATGGCCACTTTTGCCAGTGTCTTCCCCACCACCAATTCTAAAGAGTTTATTCAGAAGTAGCACAGATGGATTGAAAGAAATAAGGGATTGGAAGAGGAAGGGAAAAAAAAAAGTAACGAGCAAGAACTAATAAAACCTGAAGTTTGAAAGTGTGTGTTTTTAAGAGACATACCATAGAATCATGGAATGCCTAAGGTTGGAAGGGACCTCTAGAGATCATCTAGTCCAAACCCCCTGCACGCACAGGGTCACCCAGAGCACGTGGCACAGGCCTGCGTCCAAGCGGGTTTGGAAGATCTCCAGAGAAGGAGACTCCACACCCTCTCTGGGCAGCCTGTTCCAGTGCTCTGTCACCCTCACTGTTAAAAAAATTTTCCTTAAGTTCCTGTGGAACTTTTGGTGTTTCAGTTTGTGGCCATTACCTCTAGTTCTGTCACTGGCCACCAGTGAAAAGAGGCCAGCACCATCCTCCTCACTCCCTCCCTTGAGGTACTTATAGACACTGATCAGGTCCCCTCTCAGCCTTCTCTTCTCCAGGCTGAACAGGCCCAGCTCCCTCAGCCTCTCCTCACAGGGCAGATGTTCCAGGCCCCTGATCATCCTTGTGGCCCTGCGCTGGACTCTCTCCAGCAGCTCCACATCCCTCTTGTACTGTGGAGCCCAACATCCCTAGTCCCATTTGCTAGGGATATTAACATTCTAGCTGCAGACCCCGCAAGGAACTCAGACACGCGGTACACCTGAAGCAGCGGCCCTAGAGGCAGACTCCTTGGAGCATTTAACCGACTTCAAAGCCGCTGCCCGAACAACGCGGGCCGGGTGGCGGCACCGAGGAGGCTGCTCCGCACTCACCTTCTTGATGGCCACGATGCGCTCCTGGCTCTTGTCCCTCGCCTTGTAGACAGTGGCGAACTAGGGGAGACAACACAGGGCCGTGGTGGCAGCGCCACGTGCGGCGCGGCCCGCTAGAAGGACGTTGCTACCGGTAAAACTACCGGCACCGAGGAGACGGCTGGGGATTCGCAGGCGGAAGAAAGCGACTGCGGACACTGTTATTGCCAAGTTTGAAGAATGGCTAATTAGAAAAATATTTTAATTGTGCAGACATCCAGTATATTCAGTTGTTAGCCATCAAAAGAAAGCCTTCCACACTCATAAATTAATAGTGTATTATGTGGCAACCTTCTCACCCTTCATACAGGGTATTTATTAAAGCTATTAATAGATAATCATTTATAACATTAAGGAGATGCTTTTGTTGTGAATAGAATACTTCGTTCTTCAACAGTGGTGAACAAACTATCTCCGGTGCTTCACGCTTATTCAGGACCTCCACGCTGTAAAATAGACAGTTAAATATACTCTACAGAAAGTAAACATTAAGAGCAAATATTCCTTTGCGCTATTACGGATAATAGAGACATTGATTTTTAATTATAAAAGAACATGGACAGAGTCTCAAAGTATTAGCATCAATCAATAACATTTTTTTTCAATTCAGGAAGAATACAAAAAGATAAACACCTGCAAAAAATAACCAGCTGGATTCCTGCTTCCCATGCTCCAGGGAATGCTGGCTTTTAGGAAGATCTTGTAAATACAGCAGCAGTTTACAGAAGTTTTAGAATTATTTTCGCTTATTATTTTCAAGTGGCAAAGTAAAAACAAAAGCAAGGTCAGCTACTAGAATCTTTATAAGAAATTAAACAGTTACTCAATTCATTATTTTGTCAACAAAACCTTTAGGATTTACCTCTCAGAAAAATTAGGCTAGAAGTGTACTACTACAAAAATAAGCCGTTTTATTTCTTGTGCATCATATATTGTGTGCATTTATTGTGCATAGGTGTGAAAGCTCCAGGCACACAGTTAACAAGAATTAAAATGCCATACCATATCTGAAACTTTAAAGAATGTGTAAAAATAAGATAATACAGAAATATGCACCAACAAACTTACTTGAATGTATTCTATCTCTTCCTCTGACATAAGTTTCCTTCTGTATTTCTGAGGTAAGGTTCTTGCTAACTCCGAACTGTCCGGCGCCCCTTGTACTCTCCTAACAGGTGACATATTCTGAAAGGCGGGTGATCTGCCTCCCAGGGACTCCTGTGCTTTGGAAGCATGGTGTGATGGCACACTTGCTTGTAGGGACTCTTGCACTGCAACCCAGAGTGCAAAACCATTTACAGAAATATACTAAGACTGCACAATTAACTACACGAGCAGCCAACAAAAGTTACCAGTTACTGATAACTGCTTTTTCCTCCTTCCAGAAATGCTTAATTAAGATTCTTTACTTCCCACAATGTTTTCATTGTTGTTAAATATAGTAAGAGCACAGTGAAAACACGCTGAAAGCAGAAGCAAGCATATTTGAGTGTCAGAAATACTGATGTGGCAGCAGAAGATAAACCATACCTAACTCTTTCACTAGGAAACTGTATTCACAGAAAAAGCATGTAGTATCATCAAGGTTATAAGGGGAGAGGGATAGATGGAGACATCTGTTATTTTGGTTTTAAAAGCTTTATTGACTCAAATGGAATATTAAAATATCATCCAGCTCATATAACTTCTATCTAATATAACTGCCTGAAATCCTGTAAATATCAACATAGCTATAGGTATAAAAACGGATGTGTCGAAGATCACAAAGTAATTACTTTTTTCCTCAATATTAACTAATAGCACTAGAAAACATATCTTAAAATGCAGAGTGGCAAGGCCTTCTCAGCTATAATCAGGATACGAAATGCCATAGACACGGCACACTCTAATTAGGAAAAGGCTGAGCAAAATCCAACATTATTTCTGCAAACATCACTGAATGCCCAAGGTTTATTCTCACGGTGACTTTGACAGAAATGTGTCAAGTAGCTATTACTATTTGCAAAAATATGACCTTGTATATAAATCAGGATCAGGAAAATACTGGAAATCTCCAGGAATCTGGATCATATTGTTTTGACCAATACATGCATACACTGTGTTTTTTTCCGCACAGTTGTAATGTCCGGAATGGAAATGCCAAAGAGCTGTTCTAGAAATACCGCTCAAAAGCAGGTAAATATTTAATCCAAATTAAAAAAAAAAGAGAGAGAAAAATGTGTCCTGGTTCTTACATAAAACATTTAATGTGAAAATAAGTTACGCGCATTGTATCCTTACAGCAAATACTTACATTTAGGCTTGGGGATGCTTTTTCTGTCCGGGAACTTAATTAAGGGAGTATGTGGCTTGACTACCTAGAAGAAGACAAGGCAGTAGGAGCACACAGGAAGAGAAAAATTTCTAAACAATAATGCAATAGAAAGCATAACATTATTTTACCACTTCTATAGTGGTGCTTTGTGCACCATTATTTTGACAAACTTCTGTTTTCGATTTATCCAATGAGAAATTTCACTTTTAACACTACCCCTTCATCCTTGTGTTTGGCATTGGGATAAGGGCACCTTTACTTTTCTCACAGGAATCCCAGATCATGTAGAAGTAGCTATGACAGTGGCAAAAAAAAAAAAAAAAGAGTTGCACAGTTTTATCACAAGAACTGTGTAACTGCTACCTGTGTAGGCTTCTGTATTTTCTGTCAGCTGCCCGCACACGGCTGGAAAAGGTGTGAATAAGAAAGGAATGGTATGCAGAGGTGGTAGTTATGTTGTGCACATACTCGTCACGACGGGGGCTGCGGTTTTTCCTCATAACCCAGTGGGATCTCCCGGGAGAGGCGAGCGCAGCCCCTCACAGCGGGTAACGCACCGCCTCCTCCTCCACCTCCTGCCCGGGGAGCTCATCG